CCCGCCTCTCTAGCTGCTACCTAGTTACTTTGGATCCTGATAGTGATCCGCTGCCGCGCTAGCCACCAAGGTTTTTTGAGAGGTTTTCGTTTGTCCTGGTCATCCACAGGCTCGCTCTTCATTAAGCTTTTACCTCACATGAATTTCAGATCCGACAATCCCGGAGCAGCGGGAACGGAAGTGTAGGCTCGGTGGTCCGGGGGTTAGAGGTTTTGCTGCCGCTCTACACACGCTCCCCACGCCCCCTCTCTGCCTGGCGACAGAGACACAAGTTGTGGCTCGGCCCTGGTTCAGCGTTCGTGTGTGTAGAGTGGGATCCCGCTTTTTTCCCGCTGTTGTGGGCAAGTCTTCTGGGTCTGGAGCCAAAGTGGGAGTACCCCTTCGGCCGCCACGTGGGTCCTGCTAGGCACCAGCTGGAGCTCTCCGTGGCTTCCACTCCGGTGGACATCGCGGCACCCGGTGCCCGGCTTTCCCAGCCTTACAGTTGAGGAGATACGCAGGTGCGCCGCCGGCTCGCCACAGTTTGGCAATCTGCCACAGTTTGGCAATCTGTCTTCACTTCACTTAAACTAGAGGTACAGTTGTGACCCTAGGTTCCCATAGATTCCGTGATTTGGTTTTAAACAAAGGAAAAAATAGATAGCTCAGTAAATGTTTGTATTATTCAGAACTGATTAGCTGTGTTCCCTGGCGGGACCCTGCATTCATTAATTGAGTGTTGTAAGCAAGGAGAGATAGAAAGGTTTTAACGGATGGTTACTTTTGGTTATCCAGGGTTTGGAATTCCACACTGAATTAAGTAAACTGCTCTCCTTTCTGCTATTGTTTTTCTAACTTTCACCCCATCTGACAAAGGGGATAGTGAAGCTTGAGTAATTTGTGTATTCTACTTGTTATTACCACAGTAAACAGCAACAACAAAAACAAAAAACTGAGGTAGAATATTTGTTACTTGCTAAAGTTAAGTTATTGGCTTTTTGGCCTGTACCATAATACCCCTTATTCCTTAACGCTTTTTTTTTTTTTTTTTTGCCC